TGTCAACTATTGTCGACTCCTCTGCGCATTTTGCATATTGATATTTTTGTTCATTACTTTTATCCAATAAAAGTCAACATCCCCTCTTTATGCGTGCTCTTAATATCACCATCAGCTTGAAATCACACTTTAAAAGAACATTCATTTACTGCAATTTGTAATGGAAATTTGCAAAGGCTTTAATTTGTTTTTTTGAGGCAACACGATCTCTTCTATGCTAATAGAAATGTAATTTTTTTAGTGTATACATATTGTTCTCACCCTCCCGCTGGGCTTAATCATATTCATTAATCAGAATCGCTTCACGTTTAGTATTCATGTATTTCCACTAAGAGGATACAGCAATCATTAAGACTACGTCGGGCTTATTGGGCAGAGTGGTGCAGCTGAGGTCGTGCTGTTCAGTTGTGTGCTTCATCTACCTCCGACTGTGCCAGCAGCACCTTGCAGTGAGCTGGCAGCAACCTGGGCGCCCAGAGCTTGATTGAATAAAACATGTTTAATTGTCAACGGGGACGTGACGAGCGAGGCCACGCGCACACGGAGCAGCACGGAATAACAATTCTGGAAACACTGCGAGAGCTACTTTTGCCCTTGATTCGCCCATAAATAACAGTGAGGGCACCACACGGAGCCGGCACGATCTGGAGCGCTAATAAAAGTTTCGCCTTCGTATTGAACAAAGTTTAAAGCCTTAGAAATAAGAAAAAGAAAGAAGCCAACGAGGTATATTTGTTACCTTGGGCAGCGTATACTTGGGCAGCTTCATAGGGGTGAAGACATCTCTTTTAGCTGACACGTAGTAGATTGGCCTCCCCCCGGTTGACACCTTAAGGTGAGCCGAAAAAGTTTGTAGACATTAATAAAGCAGAAAAGGATTTTCACACGTACAGCTCAACTAATAGCGTCTCTGTAAGATTGACCTTGACAAATTCCCCAGAAAACCCAACATCTTTTCTCCTCCACACACTTTTCTGTAATATTTCTCACTGAGCAAACTGGACAATTACCTACCTGGACAAACACATACTCATCTTGCACCACCAGAGAATTGGGGTCAATGTAGCCGGGGAATGGTTTGCCCTTATTGGCGTCGGTGCAGTTCTGCAGCTTGCAGGTGACATACAGCGCCTCTGCT